TAAATTTTATTTTACAAATTATTTCAAAATAGTATAACGGATACATGAAAGAAAAAATTTTTTCAGAACTGAATCAACATTAAACAGTGTTTAACACCATCACATGGATTGGAGTTTGTTCCAACTTTATATTTGGATATCATTTGTTCTATGTAAAAGAGGATCAGTTTCTTTCCTAGAGCAATACATATTCTACCTCTATTAGGTGACTAGTTGTGAGTTAGACTGAGTACCAAATTGAATGCAACAGTATAAATAGGGAATTGCAGGAATTGTTCTGGACAATCACATCAGATCCCTTAATATAGTGAGTAAATAACCTAAGTCAGCTTCTCCACTTCTACAAGGTACATGTTATGTTCACTCAAGGGGAAGCATGTTGAGAAAATATCTGTGGTTATTTCACATCTTGCATGCACAGGGATGCTTTACTAGTTCTCTGTTATTCAAATGGTACCATGTAAGGTAATAAAACCAAAGATGAGCAAACCATTTAAACAATCATCGATATGTATCAAATGAATAAGATGATTAGCTACAATCTTCTATGTCTTTCAATTTCATCAGATAAAATTTATCTTCCTTTCATCAACAGTGTAGTCTAAGACTTCTAAAAGTCCACTGTTAACCCAGGATATGAGAAGCTCATGGATGGTTTTGCAGCTTTGGGAAAAGCTAGAAGCATTTTAGGAGAATCAGACTAAGGTGTTAGATAGGAACAGAGTGGATTGTTACTGGGCAGGTGGATGATTTCCCTAATGTCAACTTGCAGAGCCAAGCAGATGTCACTAATCACATTTCCTGTTTCTGATTTGACATTTACAATTTTGGCCTAAAGCAGTCTATAAAGAGCAATAAGACATGGAATCTGCCTTCACTGAGTTAATAGTCAAGCAGGGAAATAATATGAGTATCAATAGCTGCATGATAAAAAGACTGTCAAAGCTATCATGGGAACACAAAATACATATATCACCATCACCAATATTTCTATTCATAACCAGATTGTACCATACAGGGTTTTCTTAGCCTTTACAAAGTCTTATAAGAAGGTAATATTACTCATCTCCATTTCACAGGGGAGAAATTCTTCACCAAGAATTTGCCTAAATCTGGAAAATGACAGAATTTGGATGCACATCTGGAATGTACACACTTAACCACTGCTTATACTGATTCTTTTATGACTACTTGGGTTTTCCTGATACAATTCTATGGTGTTCTTTATGAGTGCAGTATTAAAAAGAAAAAAAAGGACAGGCTGGAGGCAGGTAGCACCACGCCTGAACTCCAGATGGAAAGAATTCCACAAGCGACAAGATGAAGGTATAAAGCAGTACAGATTGTTCTGAGAACCTCATTAAGTTTCAGTTCAATTGCAGGAATCAAACAATGGAGTGGTTTTTGTGCCATTCTTGGAAGTTTGAGGTTTGTTCTGTAGTTACAAAAGTCCACTTTTAATCTGGCAGGTAGGTGATTCCTGTGATTACATTTTGCTTTTAAGAAAAGTACAAATGATTTGGAGGAGAGTTATATTAGAGGCAAGTCAAGGTGTGGTGAAGGTAGAGAATACTTCAACAAGAGTCGGGGGAAAGACGGAGCTTTAGATCAGGGAGGTATCAATGACTAATTTCTTTGTGAAGAGTGTTGGATAAGAGAGGACCGAGAGAAATGGATCCTGTGGCCTAAATGGCTTTAGAGTAATTTTTTTAAAGGGGAACAAATAAATTGGTATTGCTTTTCATTTGCATTTGTTTGGTTTGTATTATGAAGAGTTGAGGAGGATAATGACCACCACCTGAAATATGTAAAGATATCTAGTAGTAATAAAGCAGTGAGAAATCAAGTAATAGTATTCTGCATCTAGTCATGAACTTGAAGGGTAGTCTTGGAAATCTTCTGTTCCAAAAAAGCAGGAGGAATGGATGAGATCAACCAGGAAGAAGACAGAGTGAAGCAAGTCTAAACACTGAGAAAGATAAGCAAAAGAGGGCAAAAGAGAAAGAATCAGAAGTTGGGGATCAAACAGTAAGAATTAGGGACAAGGAGAGTCTTCAAAACAGTGAATTAAGAGATTCAAGGGATAAGAAGTTTTTTATGAAGGCATAAATGGTACAAAAATTGTCAAAATTTCAAATAATATGAGGACTAAACATGCATCAGTTACAACTGGCAAATTTGGAGATCACTGGGACATCAACATTCCAATAAAATTCCAATAAAATTTGAGAACAGAATTCATGCTTAAATAGGCTTAATTAGGCAAGAATGCAGAAAATAAGACATGTAGAAGACTAAGTCATTTACCTGTGAAGAGAAGGTTAAAGTAGATCACTAGAAGGGCTCCCTCAAGTAGGTAAAGATTATATTGCTTCTACCTTGACTTGAGTGGGTCTAGAGCTTATAGCTAATATTTGGTGTACAGGAAGGTATTGAATAAAGGGACTGATTGACTGAATAAAGTTCTTTGTTAGGTGAAAGTAGATGAATTCGTTTCTGAGGGAAAATAGTGTTGCAAACATTTAAATAGCCAGTGGAAGTGAACATTTTTGTAGCAACTAAAGCAGTTCAATGTATACAATGTTATACTGTTAATATAAATTACAGATAAAAACACATCACAGAGTGGTGATATAATGTGGACAGATGTACCTGCAGTACAACCTCCAATAGTATAGAGGTGGTGACCAGAAATGTGAGGTGAAGACCTGCAGGAAAAGGGAGAAATGCAGAAATGGTCACTGTACCCCAGACAGTCCTCACTACCTCTAACATGGCAGCTCCTATAGTTCACTTTTGATTGCTCAGATTAAGAACTGCAATACCATTTTTTTTTTCTCTTTTGGTTTGTAATTAATTACGAAGAATGCTGTGGAAGCTGTTAAAGTGGACATTAGGGGCCTCCCCTGGTGGCGCAGTGGTTGAGTGCTGGGCTGCGAAGCTGCCCGCAGCCTCTGCAGTGCCGGTTCGATCCCCAGCTGCTGGCAAGGGTCCCTCATGACGCGACAGACCTTTCCTGCTGTGCCCGCTGCTCCCCTCAGCAGTGTATTTCGCCAGTCTGTCTGTTCTGTTCTGTTCCCTGCTCTGGCTCTGGTGAATTCTCTCACCCTCCCATGCTTCTGACTGCTTGTATAAATAAATAAATAAATCTTTTTAAAAAATAAAAAAATAAAGTGGACATTAGGATTTTAAATTGTGCATTGGAGAAATAACTGACTAAAGCAATGCATAAGAGGGGGCCATTCTCTCATTCTAGTCCAGGCCTAGGTGCCTGCTGCATCATCTCAGTGTTTGACAGAGTGCCTTGGGCAAAAAGGAGTTTTTTATAAGTAGCCAAATATTATAGGCAGGTATATACACACATACAAACACAGCCACATTGGGTGTTCACTGAATGCAGGTGCACATACATACACAGACATGTGTGCAAAGTATTAGCACTTGTTGACTTTAGTTAGGGGAGATATAGTTATTAATTCAATTAATATTTGTACTTTCCTATATATGTATATATTTCTAGTTGTAATTGCATGAAATTTTACGTATTTTTGACTCTGAAACTACTGTACCATGGAAGTGCAAGTATAAAGTACTTGGTTCATGGTATGTGTTTAGTAACTATAATATCCTTCCATTATAACATCTATTTTGTGTCATTGTGAGTTAGCATATAAGGTCTTATTTTATACCTTTTGAGTAAATAATTTTATTTCCCAAACTACGCAATAGGATTGCAGAGCACTTTCTCCCACCACCCAAGCCTTTGTTTCTTTCTGCCCATGAAGTTTAAAGTGCTTTGTTGAAAAAAAAAAAAAAAGTAAATGTTTATTAGTTAAATGGAAGGATATCCTAGCTTTCACTTCTAGAAGGAAGTTTTAATTAATCAGAAACAAAGGACTAGACTCCTACCTTAGCTCACCTTCCATGTTTGCCCTTTTTAGGAAGGGAAGACTATATGTTTCTTGAGGGCCAAACCTTGTCTCATACATATTTTTTAAATCTATATAACAGAGCACTGGGTTTGGCAGCAACATAGGATGTTTACTGAATGACTGAATAAACAACATCCTAAATGGATAACTATAAAAATAAAACATCATTATTTAAATAATTCCAATATCCCTCAAATTTTGATGAAAGGCAGCTGACCAAATAGAAAATGGAGTTTAATTTCTCCTGACATCTACATTGATCTAAAGTGAGGTTTTCATTCTGGTTGATTTTTTCCTTGATACCAAAAGATAACCGAAAGCCATGGAAAAATCCAAGATAAAAGACTGAAAAAGAAATAATCAACCAGCCAGAGAATAATTATTGCCAACTGCAAAGAGCCAAAGCAAAGAAAAAAACTGTAAAGTGAGAAGAAAATTTCAACCAAAGATATTCAGAATTATAGTAATTTTAGGGAGGCCAGATTATGTAAGTCTTATTTTTCAGAGAAGGGTTTTAAAGCTCTATGGCTTGCTCTTAATAAGAGACAACGGATTTCAGATGCCTGCTAAAATGAATGATGAAGACATAGTCATCATGTTACTAACTTGACTCCTGACCATTGTCTTCCTGTTAACCAGGGGGATAGAGTAAAACATTCTTCCATAGAAATGAACCTGGAAACCCACTAAAATGGAAAACTAATCTCTAGAGGTGTGATTAGCAGGGGGCAACATTCTCTCCTAGAGGCACACATGTTCCTCTCCTGGACTAGCTGGATGTATCAATAGATCTATTTTACATTTTATTCTTTACTCTTTCTCAGATGAAAGAATCAGAGAGAGAGAGATAGAAAGGGGGTGGTGCTTAATAATGACACGGGCAGAGACATAGTGAAAATGGATACATAGGAGGATGTTATGAGGTCAGACATACTCACGAGAAGAAAAAAGAAAAATGTTGAGAAATATTTGGATTAAAGAGTTTGCTTATAAACTTAAAGCAAAGATAGAGAGATTTCAATTTTGGTATCTTAGCAAATAAAATAGAGAAAAACATGGTCCACTTACCCATTCTGTATGGCAGCTGTGGGGTCATAGGTCAGAGCCATGCCAGCCTGTATAGAGGGGGAGAGAGGACAAAAAACAATCTTAACAATTTTATTGAGGTGCCCAAAACATTCATTACACACAAAGACTTTTATCTTTACTTCTATGATTTAAGTTTATTTTCTCCTATATATTTCTCCACCCTTACTGCCAAGACTAGCATTTTTACTACCTACACACCAGTGCGTAGGGAGTTTATATTATCTATCCAGACAAACCAAGGAACAATACAGCTTGGATGATTTCCATTTTGACTTCATAAACCATCCACTGTCTAATCTGGTATTCTTATAATTTCTCACTATTGTCAAAAGTAACTAGTGTACATCTCATGGCGTGCAAAAAATCTTAACAATGACTTCTGTGGTTAGGATAAAAATAAAAGCTATTTTAAATGCATTCAAGTTTTTGGAAGAAAATAAGAAATATTTATTTCAAAATGAAATACATGCTTGAAGGATATGGCACATGGGTGACGAGTCACAGGGCTTGTCTGGTATATTGCTTATAACTGCCCCACTAAGAGTGGTAGAAAGGAAGATCATTCACACCTGATGGAATTTCTAGGCCTTTCTCATGGGAAGTAAGGATCTGAAAAACTACACTCTGTAACTACCAATGGTTTTAGAAAAGAAAATGGGCTTCATGATTGCTGATTGACATTTGACCTCCTTACACACACCCTCACATCTGATCCTCATCACAACCCTCTGAAGTAGGTAAAAGAAATATTTTCTCCACTTTGTACATGAAGACCCTGAAGTTTGAAGAGGTCAAGTGACTTGCTCAAGGTCACCTGTTTAGAGGCAAAACCAGATTCCATCCCAATTTCTGACGTGGGCTACCTTCCACAGTAACTACAACATTGAGTGAGAGTTGAAATGAGACCTGAGGATCATCTGTGACACGGGAGAACTCTCTCTGTGATCCCACGGGCATAGCACTCTTTACTGTACAGACTGGCTATCTGGTTATCACTTGTAAGCAGAGATAGACTATAGAGTAAAATATTAAACTGATAAGACCGCTGATAAGACCAAGTGATAATGTTGGATTGAGTTTTTCTTTTAATGAAGTTTAAGAGTGAATTAGACCAATGTCAATTCCTGGCTTTGATACATTTCATCATAATTTCCTATGAATCTATAACTATCTCACAATAAAAAATAAAAAGAAATGGTCAGTTAGTATTGAAGACTATAGAGAATGAAGAAACTTTAAAAACAAAAAAAATTCTTTGTGTTTGATTTTTATTTTATTTATGTATATATTTATTTTACTTAACTCACTATTTATTTATTGGTGTTATTGATGATGGTTTTCTATTGGTCTTGTCAAATTCTTCAGCTTTAGCACAAACTGAAAAGAAAATCCCAGGCTCCCTAACATGGGGGCTGAAGGTCTGCTATATGCTAGGTTAGATTACATGTATAATTTTCCCTACATCATAATTTCAAAACTATTCAGACTGGTATGAGAAACAAAAGTGTAGAGTCATGAATGAGACTGGTGTTCTGTATCCCTACAGAAACTGAAGAGAACTTTGCAAAGTGTGATGTCTCTCAGAAGCTAACAGTGGTGAACTTAATATAGTCTATGTATGTGGTAGGCATATAATTTTCAATGATGCACATCAGAAACTAATATAATGGTACAAGGCAATTTTATTTCAATCAAAAAATAAATAAAAAATAAATACGATTGATTCTGAAAAAAATTTGATAGACAATGATATCTGCATCTCAGTCATGTTAAAGAAAAATGTAACTGATAATATGACAAGCTAGAGAGCTACGGAACAAGAAGAATAAAAGAGCAAGAAGGAAGACAGATTTTTGGTTTAGGACTCGGGATATGTGCAGAGAGTGGGATAAAAGCATATTCTATGTCTAAATTCTTTCCAGGGACGGGGCCTGGAACGGGTAGGGGCCTCAGGCCAGAAGAAAGACTCCATAGCCCCAAGCTGAGGCTTCCTGGCTTGGGGACTGCCAAATACATTGTAAAAGTTGTCCAGGATGAAACTGGCCTCTTAGGAACACTCAGCTTCTCTCCTCTAACTTATCCAAGATGCCACACAGGGGCATATTGGAAAAAAAAAAAAAAAAGGCTTTATATTCAATAGAAATAGTGTTAGTTCATGAGAGATTGAGGATGATAATCACATCTTCAGTCTCCTAACCTACTACCAAATTGTTTTAATCCTGGGGGACTTAATAGAAAGACTTTCCTAATGAACCTTTGGTTTCCTTATTTTTCTTGTTCTTATTTTCCAATTGTGCTCAGCAATCACTGTACTCTAGCCTTTTACTTGTGCTGGTTACTTTTTTTTTTTTTTAAAGATTTGTTTATTTATTTATTTATACATGAACCGGGTACAGATCAGAGGTGCGGGAGGGTGAGAGGATTCACCAGAGACAGAACAGGGAACAGAACAGGCAGACTGACGAAATACACTGCTGAAGGAGCAGCCGGTGAGACAGGAGAGGTCTGCTGCACCATGAGGGAACCCTTGCCAGCCAGCCGGGATCGAACCAGCGCTGCAAAGGCAGTGGACAGCTTCACAGCGCAGTACTCAACTGCCTGCGCCACCAGGGGAGGCCCTGTGCCGGTACCTTAAATGAGAATTTTTTTTTCCTCTCATATTTCTATTGAAAATTTCATAGATTATAGTTAACCAATCAATTCTAGGTAGGATGATAGTCATTATCAATAAGGTCTATTTCTCTTTTGATAATCAGAAAGCTTAAGTGGCCTCCTCCTTGAAATTCCATCCTTCAGAAGATGGAAAAGAACTGAATAAGATGGCAATATGTTTTGGTGGAAAAATGGTATCTCTTGGCCTGGGTTTAAGTGTTGGGTCTGTTATTTTCTAGCAGTGTAAGCTTGTTCAAATTAATCAACCTATTTGAGCCTCAGTTTCCTCAAATCTTAAAGCTATTAATACCTACCTCTTTGGATTGTTGTGAAATTTAAATGAGATTACATTTGTAAAGCGCCCAGCACAGTGCCTGGAGACAAGACATATACATAAATATTATAATACAAAGCAATGTGTGGAGATAGCCACATAAATGGAATGGATGAGGTCTAGAGGAAGAAGGCTGGGGTGATCTGGCACAGTATGTGGAGGTATAGCTGAGTGGAATTTTGAAGGATGGTTTGGATTTCCTTAGATGGAGACAAGAGGTGAAGGCCAGCTCAGGTAAAAGGATGGTATGGGAAATAGTGTTTAAATAAAAGTTGCAGTAGAACATTGGAGGGGAACAGTAGGACATAAGACTTCCAGGAATAGAGGGAGGGTTTTAACTGTGTGGTTCCTCTTGGGGAGTCACCGATCAATTTCTGAGCAGGGAATTTATACAATCAAGGAGGGATTGGGCAACAAGAAACAGGATGAGCCCCTGGGAAAACAGAGGGTAAATCCAGAACAATGAGCAACTGGAATAGACCCTTTGGACAGGGAGGCAGAGCGAATCTAAGGTGAGATTGGTAGGGGATGAACACTAGTTTCACCTACTTCATGATTTTGCCTAGTGGTAGTCCTGCCTCTGAGTACCTTGGAGACAACAAGAGGGAGTGTCAGGTCATATGCATTCTGAACACTGTGGGTAACAAAACAAGGCATGGGTTAAACAAAGAGTGGTTTGAACTTAGCTCCTACTCTGAATAGCACAGCACAGCAACTAACACTTGGTGCCTCTGGTATTCCTTTCGTGAGTAACAGATTGTTGAGTCATAATTCTAGTATGGTCTTAATTCAGATTTTGCATTCAATTTCCTTTTGTTTCTTTCCACATAGATAAAAAAGAAAATCAATTTTACTGCTCTGTCTAGCCACCTTTTATTCTAAGCTAGAAACATGAAATCATCATTATGTAATTACCAAATTTTATGGCATGTTTACAAACTCCAGAGTTGCCCCAAAAGTAAAATAACTTGGAACAAAATGAAATTGTCACACCACATGTGTAGAAAAGTGATACTTAATTCTGTCACTCTCTTTAAAAAAGGGCTTATTAGATTCACAAATATTTTCCATTTGTCAAGTTCACACTATTTGTCTTTTGGAGGCATTTGTAATTTATTTAAGTTAAAAGGAGATTTTTATCATTTTCTAGCAGTAGTTGAGTTTTGGCTTATAACTTCAACCATAATAAGGTATTTCTAGCTCTTAGATACTATAAAAACTAAATATTTTAGAAGAACTTTTAAAATATGGTTTATTGGAGTCATTGGCTATAATTTTTTTTTCCTAAAATAAGAATATGATAGAAAATATGGGATTTATGGAGAGATACATATTTGGAAATAGGGGCTAGAGTGTTGATATTCATAACTTTATGTCATTAACAGGCAATAAAGAGGTTATAATTATGGGAACTAGAGAGTAGGCATTAGTTCTTCAGAAAGATCTTCTGGACTGGAATGCTAGATCTTATTAAGAAACAAAGGAAGAGGATGTCTGACTATCCAAAGTCAATGAAAAGACAGACTCATACAGCTGTGCTTTTTGAAATTATTTCTACACTGTAACGTAAATGGGGGATAGAAATTTTGAAACAGTAAACTTTATTTGGGCAGATACAAATTGAAATTTCTAGAAAATGGAAACACTGATGTTCTAACCTAACAATTCTCTTTTTCTAATTTTCCCCATGATGTTGGTATGAAAATTGGATGAATTAAATGAATTATCACAAGAATGTCCAATTTTCTATGGTCAGACTGAAGGTAACACCCTAGAATTGTGGTGTATGTGCACAATGGAATGTTACTCAGCTATAAAAAAAAGATGAAATCTTGCCATTTGCAACAACATGAAGCTAAAGTAGATAATGTCAAGCAAAATACACCTGAAGGATACATACTAGATGATTTAACTCATGTATGGAATGAAAAGAAAGAAAACAAAGGAAAAGGTAAAACTAAACCAAAACAAACCCTAGAAATTCAACTGTAGAATCGAGTCTACCAGAGGGGCAAAAGGAAGGGTGGGAAGCAAAGGAGA